TAGTAGACCATATGTCTGGATCGGAGCGTGACAACAAATGACTTGTAAGTCCTTAGGCCAATTTCACCATGCATTAATGTATGAAAGTCGATCGCACGAGAGCAACCATTCATAGCAGCACTCTTCTAGGTAACCTATACTAACTCAAGTAAGTAAAAATCGGAACTGGGAGATAGAGATATCGGATATTGAAAAGTGATTAAATTGCCATCTTAACAATCAATTTAAACTATGTACACCTACATGTATCACATTCGTTCTTAGAAATGAAGCTGCTGATGAGATAATCGATTCCTTATTTATGGCAATTATTACTTAAACTTCTCATGCATACCAGCTTTCAATACTCAACAACATATGGAAATAAGGCCCGATCCAGTAATCTGGAGAGAAGAGGATCCCTGAACCCTTAAAACTCACAAACATCTTTTGGCAAGATAAAATGAGTCAAATTGCCAAAGCACAAAAGAAAAAAAATAATGTATTGGGACAATTATTTAAAAACAAATTCAAAACCTTTTGTACAATGCAAGATGGTCTGGGGTTATTGAATTGGCTTTGTTGTGGCCCAATGTCACCTGGAAAAAAAACCGTCAATGAGAAGTATCCAATTTACTATGCTCAATCATGTGGATGAACACCGTACTGCTATAATGATGAAAATTATTTGTCAAATTGTTTACCATTTTATCAGAAAATCTTGATATACTAAAAAAAAAAAAAAAAACTTGTATGGAATGACAATCCTTTAAAATCAATGACCATATTCAATACAGAAAAATTTCAGTAAATAATTGAATGTAAAACAATAGACAAAACCATTTTAACATAATAGATGTAACTTGTAGACATGTTGCCGCCTAATAACATACTATTAGATTCGATTGAATACCATTTTCTCGGGATCTAGAGCCCGGTGACGATTCCCTCCTCATTTTGCATCTTGTTGATTGAGATTGTAACCCTAGAAACCAAAATCAAACAAACATATATAGAAACATATATTAGAACTTACACGAATCGGAAAGGATTTTGAAGATTCGGAATGTTATGAAGAGAGGAAAACACGATGAAACAGATATGAGAATTTACTGCGCTGCTCCAATAGCTGTAGCTGCTCTGTTTGTATCTGTTGTTGCTTCCTTGCCTTCATTCCACGACAACATGGCGAAAACGTGTTCAGAAAAATAAAAATGCCCAAACAACAAGTTTCTTTTTTCCTGAAAAGATATTTCTAAAATAACAAAATCCAAATACAACACAATGAAGGAACCTCAATGGAAGCTGCAGCAGCCTCCGAATGCTTCTCAGTTGCCCTTGCAATGAAAGTGTCTCAACGACAGACCATTTAAAGAGGAATCCTGCAACGACAGACCATTCAAATCTAAGGTTTACTCTCCAGAAAATTATTCAAAACATATACTGTAAAATATTCGCAACAAAATCTTAAAAAAAAAAAAAACATAACATACTATCAAATCATGTCATCTCGGTGAACGAAATATATGAAATGAAAAAAAAGTACATTCTCATATCACAAAAACAGTCTTTCATCATCAAAGAAATTTTTTTTTTTTTTAGTACATCAAGTTTTTTTCATCCCAGTCATACCTAAAGTGTTAATTTTGGGATAATTTCATACATCCGTTAGTCAAACTGTTAATTTTCCCGTTAAGTGATGATGTGGCTCTCATGTGGACAATGATTGGGCGCCATGTGTCATTAAAAATATTAAAATAATTAATTAAATAAAAGTTAAAAATAAAAAAACCCATCCCTTCTCCCCCCCTGGGCGCCAAAAACCCAGAAGAAGAAGAAGAAGAAGAAGGAGGAGGAAGAACAAAAAAAAGAGAAAAAGAAAAACCGAAGAAGGAAGAAGAAGAAGAGGAAAAAAAAAAAACCGAATCTACAACCTAGAAGAAGAAGAAGAAGGAGCAGGAAGAAGTCTTCTCCCCCCCCCCCCCCCCCGTCCCCAACCCAGAAGAAGAAGAAGAAGAAGAAGAAGAAGAAAAAAAAATCGAATCTGCAACCCAGAAGAAGAAGAAGAATTAAAAAAAAAAAAAATAGTAGCCCTAACCCAATTCGTCCTCCCCCCTATGACCGTAAACAGAAGCCCAGACCATGAACTCCATATTTTTGGGATTTTAGTGTGGGTGAATTTCGAAAATACTTTGAGATGGGAAGTTTGAGTTTGAGATGATTTTTGAACTGGTTTTGTGGTAAATCTCCATTAATCTGGAAATGACGAACTGGTTTTTTTCTTTTCCTTCTTCTTCTTCTGGGTTCTTGTTCTTCTTGTTCTTCTGGGTTGGGGGCACGGGGGGAGAAGGGTTGGGTGTGCGGGGAGGGTGGGTATAGGTTGCAGAGTAGAGAAGGGAGGGTGGTGGTGCAGGTGCAGAAGAGAGAAGGGAGGGAATGAGTGGGGTTGCAGAAAAGGGAAGGGAGGGAGCGGGTGCGGGGAAGGCAAAGAGGTGGGTGATGGGAGGTTGGGCACAGGTGGGAATTGGGGAAGATGAAGGTTTTTTATTTTATTTTATTTTATTTATACATATATTTTTTATTATTATATTTATTTATTTATTTTATAAATAATTTATTCTTAATTTCCACGACAATGACACATGACGCCTAGTCATTGTTCACATGGGCGCCACATCACAGTTAACGGGAGACTTAACAGTTTGACTAACGGATGTATGAGACTGTCCCAAAATTTACACTTTAGGTATGATTCTGGGATGAAAAAAACTTCATGTACTAAATGTTGAAAACCACGAAACATGAGGGTAGTAAACAATCTTTTACCCTTTTTTTTTTGAAAAAAAAAACATGAAATGATTGCAAAACCTTATACAAATTAGATCTTTCTACAATCACATCAATGCCTAAGGTTTTTTTTTTTTTTTTCTTTTTTGAAGAACTGGAAATATCATAGAACAAGGGCCAAAGCCAAACGAACAAAGAAGCCCACAGAAAGCAAGCTACAAAGAAAGCATCAAACAACAAGCAGAAGAGAAGGGTACAAAAGCATACGACGCTGCACCTAGTGCAAAGGTGTCGCCCCTCCATTACCAAAACAAAAATTAAGGGGGACAGGGTAACCCATCTTTGTTTAGAATATGGACTAGCGAAGATGGAGGGTGATTAACCCAAGTTATACCGTACATCTCCGGACTACTCAACGCCAACCGATGCGCCGCTATATTGGCCGATCTTGGAACCCAAGACCAGCGACAGTCTTGAAAGGAATCCCTCAGCCGCCAAGCTTTTGTAAGGATGGGGAAAGCCTCCCAGCTGCCCGAAGAAGAAACATTTACTAAGTTATAGATATTCTCCTTCGAGTCGGACTCAACAATTATCCTGTCCAACCCCAACGAAATAGCCAAATCACAACCAAGCAAAATCGCAGTAGCTTCCACTGCCGCAACATTTGGCGCATTAATCTGCAATCTTTTAGCAGCCACAAAACTTCCCTCATGATTCCTAACCACAACTCCAGCATAGCCAGCCACATTTAGAACCCGCAACCCAACTCGCATCGACATTCAATTTCATGAAAGAAGGGCCTGGAGGGGACCAACAAGCTGAAGGGACAATGCCTAAGGTTTTGCAACCAAAGCTACAGAGCATACGTTTAGGACTTCATAAAACCACACCCAGTCAATGTCATTCCATTATATCGCGCAGCCTTTTAAAACTTTGCCTTTGTCCATGTTCGTATTCTCATTCACCGCATAATTGTTATACATACAGACATACTTATAATATATACATTACACACACACACAAAGATATTATTTATTACATCCTAATTTTTCTTTACTTTCATTTTTGTTCCGTTCCTTTCATTGTATAAACTTAATTATACTAATTCTTTATAATTTTAGCAAGATTCTAAAAAACGCAAGGCGTCAATCACTTTCACTGCACGCATACACAAAATTCAATTTTTCATTCTAAAAATGAAACGAAAGCACATTTATCAATCAATGTAATTCACAAGTAAATAAAAAAAAATGGAATAGATTTGCGATTTCTACGATGATAAAGATTCCACCTGTCCCTCGTAACATGTGTGAGTACTCAGCCAAGAGGTAAATAAGGTTAATTTTGTGAACATACTGTTCAACATTAGAAAAAGCAGGGAATAACAGAAAAAGCGAAGGGCATTTTCTTGAAAACACTGTTAATGAACAGTGTTTTCACTTCAGTTTTACTATAGAGTAATTTGCATTTCATTTAGTCACATAAACATATTTGATTTTATTATTTTAATGCTATTCTTAAAACAGCAATAGACGACCCGCCAATAATAAAAAAATAAAAAACTTTTGGTCAACCGAATTATTTTTTTGGGCCAATAACCCATATTTAAATATTATAATTATAGTCACAAAAAGTTTGTACAACTGTTTAATTTAGAAAAACTAATTATATTTGGACAAAGAAAGAATATATAGTAAAATTATTTTAATTATCTTTAGAAAAAAAGAAAAATCTGAATGGAAAATTTTCTTTCAACATGACTTTTTTTCTCTGGTAGGGTCTGCGAAGAAAAACCCTAGAGAAAACCCACAGCCACAGCCACAAAACCCCTATCATCGGTTTGATTTTTCATATTTTTTTTTTAGTACAACGGTATATTTTACACTAAGAGGAGGAGAAATTCGGCTAAACCACACAAAGGACAACCTAATGTGGCATCAAATTCGTCATCCATGAAATTCGAACCTAAGCCCTCTTACTTGTAAGTAAAGGTCAATGGCGAGTTCCTTGTGGTCACTAAGTCCAGTCATTTCTTGGTTTTCAATACATCAAGACTCCATTTCCATGTTCATCCCTCATTCCCACTTTCTCTAAAATTTTCTGTTCTCTTAACTTTATTTCTACATTGATTTGAAGGACTTCATTGTGATCCATGCGTGTGCTTTTGGCCAACTTCGTCTGATGACGACTTCTAAGCGACTCTTATTTGCATAGCAGCAAACAATGAGCACGAAAAGACAAGGACAGATGGGCACCAGAGACAGAAACACGTGTAATTAGTAAGAATGAAAAAATAAAAATAAAATGCCACAACACCTGAATGTTTTCCTTATAATGTGGGCAGACAGTATAAACTGGAGCCTCTTGACCTTCAAAAGTATATTCTTTTGCACCGGTTGTAGCATCCCACACCTAAATTTATGAAGGAAATCAGCAAGGAACAGAAAACGCTCTTCCAATGGCAATGAGACAAGCAAACATGTTAGGCAACTAATGAACCTTGATGGTCTTGTCATCCCCACAGGTAATCACACAAAGCTGCCCATTGGGATGGGAGAATGCCAGATCATTTACTCCACCAACATGTGCATCAATCTACGACAGTAATTTCAGAGTCACCATTAATACAGAAAACTAAGAGACAACCAAAAAAAGGTGTAAAAATTTGAAACAGCATCTTCTGTATATACCTCTAGGTGCTCTCGTACGTCATCACCCCTATGATAAGACTATATTTGAACAATGTGCCTCGAGTAAGCAATACCTATAATTGTATTGTAAATGATACAATAATTAGGATCTAATTCAATCCTCAAAAATTTATGAAGCCATATCACATTTGCCACAGTTACCTAAGTATGCTCAAGCTTACCAAATAAAGCACCATCAGGGCTCCGAATCACATGGTTAACAGACACACCAGGATCCTTAACTACAGCAGCCAGTTTCACAAAGACAAATTTACTTTTCAGTCAACCAACTCATACATCCACAAAGAAACAGTGCACACAATTTTTAAGTCACATGAACAAGTATAGAAAGGGAAAGACCTGCAGGAGCATTGAGCATGAACTAAGATCCCATACTTTGAAGTTCCTTACAACTAGTCGCTCCCTAGATCCAAGTTCCCGCAGGCCTACGTCCCCCACATTGGTACCAAATGAAGCATCACAGAGAACAATCAACAGTCAATTATGAATAGTCTCTTTGCAGTTTCCCTCATCGAGAAACTGCAAGATCAGGAACACAAGCTCCATACTCAGAGACAACATCTTGACCGCCCCCTGTTTGATTCCAAGAAGCGGGTTGTTTGCAGGTGATGGTACCCGCGCACAGTTCGGTTGTCCACATGGGTGATCCACATAAAGCGTTTTTATTAATGGATTTGGACTTGGGCTTTTACAAAGCCCGTGCTGCCAATTTAAGCTTCGATTTACAGGAGGAGAATTAGTTCTTTCTCAGCAGAACCAGAAAGGCCATAATTTGCACAAATAATAGTTCCTGGTGTGTGGAAACTTCTGACACTGGTCACGAACCAAAATAAAATAATAGTTTCTGGTGTGTGGAAACTGCTGGAATCAAGCAGTGATGTACAACTGTCACCAGGCCCCTGTGCTATGTAGCAAAGAACCATATACTAAATTAAGATTCAGGCACATGATTTAGGCATTGCAACAATATTAATGACTTCTTTTTGTTTCCACAGAATTCAAGCCATAACCACCTTTTTATAGCTACATAGACAAAGTACGTAAACGATGAACTCATTAGCTAGTGCTATCAACTTGATGAAATTGTCATTTGAGTGCAACGGAAGACAAAAGCACTCATTCCATGTGGAAAAATTAAAGCAAGACCAGTATTTGCAACATCCATAAGTTACGATGAAGTGCACATCTAATCTTATATAACTGAATTCGTGGTTTCAGAGTAATTACCCTTGGTTAATGAGAGTCCATAGCCTCGAACGCTTTAGGTTTGGGAACTGCAATTTATCACAGAATAAGGGATTCGGGTCAATCAGTTTCTTAAGTTCAACCGACATGATTGCCCTGGCAGACTTTGAATCTCCACACTTGGATAGTTGTTCATTCTCCCCCTATAATGCAAGAGACCATTTTTTAGTACATTTGCTACAACTGTTTTCTACAGAGACTATTCATATAATGGAATTCTCATACCTAAAGTTCTCCAATGTTGAGAGCTGAGCGATTTCCTCCAAAAGTTCATCGAATGCGGCAAAAAAATTTAAATCCTTTACTAGAATATCCACAGCTTGGGACCGATCAGGCCTATAAAGTTCAGTCACATTACACGTAATTCAACCATATAATTCCTCAAGATCGGCCATGCAATCCAACCGACGTAAGGCATCAATGAATTGAAATTGAACCACTGTAAGCTTACTTGTCCAATGCCTCGAGGTACTTCTGCTTCCTTATCTCGAAAAAGATAAGGCCTATAAAGTTCACACAGTCACATTACACGTAATTCAACCATATAATTCCTCAAGACCGGCCATGCAATCCAACCCATGAAAGTTATCAATGAATTGAAATTGAACCACTGTAAGCTTACTTGTCCAATGCCTCGAGATACTTCTGCTTCCTTATCTCGAAAAAGATTTTCATGGAATAGCTGTTATCTTCCATTTTAGTGAACCCGGAGAGGTACTTCTCAACTTCATCCCAATTGCCATTATGCACCTCATCCTCAAAATATTTCATATTAAAGAAAACCCCAGATTCCTGCTCTAATATACATCACAAAAGCAATTAATGACGCAGTATATCGGTACATAATTAGCAATTGTGCCAACAAAAACGCATTAATTAAAAATACAGAAATCAGCCCTACCTGGTGAGATTTAAAATAGAAGCAGGCAGCTCCTTAATTGCAGTGCCATCCAAATAAAGCTCAGATAGATTATTCATAACCTCTGAAATTTCTGGAAACTTCTCAAGCTTTGAGCATCCAGAAACATAAAGGTATTTAAGAGATTTCATGTGAGAAATGCTGCTTGGAAGACTCTCAAGTTCTCTGCAATCATTCAGACTCAAAGTAACAAGACTGGTGAGATTTAAAATAGAGGCAGGCAACTCCTTAATTGCAGTGCCATCCAAATAAAGCTTAAATAGCTTTTTCATAACCTCTGAAATTTCTGGAAACTTCTCAAGCTTTGAGCATCCAGAAACATAAAGGTATTCAAGAGATTTCATGTGAGAAATGCTGCTTGGAAGACTCTCAAGTTCTCTGCAATCATTCAGACTCAAAGTAACAAGACTGGTGAGATTTAAAATAGAAGCAGGCAGCTCCTTAATTGCAGTGCCATCCAAATAAAGCTTAGATAGCTTCTTCATAACCTCTGAAATTTCTGGAAACTTCTCAAGCTTTGGGCATCCAGAAACATTAAGGTATTCAAGAGATTTCATGTGAGAAATGCTGCTTGGAAGACTCTCAAGTTCTCTGCAATTATTCAGACTCAAAGTAACAAGACTGGTGAGATTTAAAATAGAGGCAGGCAGCTCCTTAATTGCAGTGTCATCCAAATAAAGCTTAGATAGCTTCTTCATAACCTCTGAAATTTCAGGAAACTTCTCAAGCTTTGGGCATCCAGAAACATTAAGGTATTTAAGAGATTTCATGTGAGAAATGCTGCTTGGAAGACTCTCAAGTTCTCTGCAATTATTCAGACTCAAAGTAACAAGACTGGTGAGATTTAAAATAGAGGCAGGCAGCTCCTTAATTGCAGTGCCATCCAAATAAAGCTCAGATAGAGATTTCATGTGAGAAATGCTGCTTGGAAGACTCTCAAGTTCTCTGCAATTAGTCAGACTCAAAGTAACAAGACTGGTGAGATTTAAAATAGAGGCAGGCAGCTCCTTAATTGCAGTGCCATCCAAATAAAGCTCAGATAGAGATTTCATGTGAGAAATGCTGCTTGGAAGACTCTCAAGTTCTCTGCAATTAGTCAGACTCAAAGTAACAAGACTGGTGAGATTTAAAATAGAGGCAGGCAGCTCCTTAATTGCAGTGCCACCCAAATAAAGGTTAGATAGCTTCTTCATAGCCTCTGAAATTTCTGGAAACTTCTCAAGCTTTGAGCATCCAGAAACATAAAGGTATTTAAGAGATTTCATGTGAGAAATGCTGCTTGGAAGACTCTCAAGTTCTCTGCAATTATTCAGACTCAAAGTAACAAGACTGGTGAGATTTAAAATAGAGGCAGGCAGCTCCTTAATTGCAGTGTCATCCAAATAAAGCTCAGATAGAGATTTCATGTGAGAAATGCTGCTTGGAAGACTCTCAAGTTCTCTGCAATTAGTCAGACTCAAAGTAACAAGACTGGTGAGATTTAAAATAGAGGCAGACAGCTCCTTAATTGCAGTGCCATCCAAATAAAGCTCAGATAGCTTCTTCATAACCTCTGAAATTTCTGGAAACTTCTCAAGCTTTGAGCATCGAGAAACATAAAGGTATTCAAGAGATTTCATGTGAGAAATGCTGCTTGGAAGACTCTCAAGTTCTCTGCAACCATTCAGATTCAAAGTAACAAGACTGGTGAGATTTAAAATAGAAGCAGGCAGCTCCTTAATTGCAGTGTCATCCAAACAAAGCTCAGACAGCTTCTTCATAACCTCTGAAATTTCTGGAAACTTTTCAAGCTTTGAGCATTCAGAAACATGAAGGCTTTTAAGAGATTTCATGTGAGAAATACTGCTCGGAAGACTCTTAAATTGTTTGCAACCTTTTAGATTCAAGGTAACAAGCCTCGTAAGATTACTTATTGACGAGGGCAGTTCTTTAATTTCAGTATAATCTAAATAAAGCTCTGATAGATCCGGCATAACATCTGAAACTTCGGGAAACTTATCAAGGTTTTTGCACCATGAAAGTTCAAGGGTTCGAAGAGATTTCATACCAATCTTGCTTGGAAAAATCTTAAGATTTCTGCAATATTTCAAATCCAAAAGAACCAGGTTTTTGAGAGATGAAATGGATGGGTGAACCTCAAATAAACTTGTACAACTTCGAAAAACTACTTTCTCAAGATTTTTCGCCTCCGTGAAGTCAGGAGTTTTCTTCAGGTGAGGAGAACTTGTTAAGTTGATAATTTTCAAATTTTCCAAGGGCTGGTATAACACATCGAGGAAAGCAAGTTATATGGTAAGGCATCTAAGAATTAAACCATTTAAAAGAAACATATGCAAGTGAAGTTTTTACCTTGGCTCCTTCCCAAAGATGTTCAACGAGACTATTTTGCATGTCAAGCTCAACAAGATTCTTCGCAATAAAATTGGACGGTAAAGACTTTAGCGGGAAACACTTCCATATGAGACTTCTTAACTCATGCAGAACAAACTTTAAATTCTCACATGAATATCCATTGTAGCCGTGGATTTTGAGCAATCTTAATTTCGTCATTTTAACAAAAGCTTCGGAACTGAAGTATACCACTTCTGGTTTTGAGAATGAAAGGTCAAGGATTATGCTTTCAACAGCTTCCGTAGCCTGGATAACAAATAGTTCAAATTATGTGACTCTAGATATCTTATTTAACATTATAAAGTTAATGCATGTTTCTATGAATTGTATTTTGATCAAAGTTAAAGTTGTTTACTCTAAAGATTTACATATGAAAAAGAAGGTCATGAACATATCGCACCGTATTTTGAGTTAGCACGTGATGAACATCTTCATAATTCCACAACCTACTGCGTTTCCCAGGCTCTTTAATAGATTCTTGGCGGACGATTTCACGACCCATTTCCTCTAGTAAATCATGCATCTCCAGTGTTTCCCGTGAGACAGTTATAAGAGCTCGATCAATTAGAACTCTCAGCCCTGTATGGGGATAAAAGCCACAACTGTCCAGAACCTTTGTTGCGTTGTCTTTTTCCGCTCCTTTAAAGAAACATGCAATATCCAGAAATATGTCCTTCTCAGAATCATCTAGTCCATCGAAGCTTGTTCTTAACACATCATGAATTCCCCTTTGCGGGATTTTCTTTAATTTCTCTAGCACCTCCTCCCACTCCTGCACAGATTTGTTATAAAGAAATGCCCCCAAGACTTTGAGTGCTAAAGGGAGACCTTGAGCATATCGTACAGCACGGCTTGAGAGAGGGTCATAGTCTCTTTTGGGTTGCTTTGTTCTAAAGGCATACTGGCTAAAGAGTTCCAAAGCTCCATCACCACTTAGAACCTTGGGGCTGTAGATCGCATCAGCTCGACTTAGTACTAGCTTATCTCTAGTGGTGATAATGATTCTACTCCCACCACCAAATGAATGTTGCTTTCCAAGTAAGGTTTCAATTTGAAATACGTCGTCAACATCATCAAGAACAATCAAAACCTTTTTCATCTGTAGCCTTTCCAAAATCATTCTGTAACCTCGATCCAATGTGCCTAAACTCTGCACCTTTTCATTCAAGATTCTAGATAGAAGTTTTTCCTGCATATGTACGGCACCACAAGCGGAGAACTCTTCCTTGACATTGTCAAGAAAGCAACAAGCTTCAAATTGACAAGCAATTTTCTCATAAACAGCTCTAGCTATGGTTGTTTTGCCTATACCACCCATACCCCATATTCCAACAACACAAACGTCGTCCATTTCAGGAGCAGGATGTAATAGCAAGTCCATTTCATGCATGTGGGAATCCATTTCAACCAAGTCATCGTCTTTACTTGATGAGATGCGGATCAATTTCTGAAAAATATCTTCTACAATTTTCTCAATGAGCTTGGCATCATCCCTGTGGAATAAGAAAAACATTATTGTAAGAGTAAGATCAAGAACAAGTGCAAACCGTATACATAGTCATACATTTGCTAGGAAAACATGACAAAGAATTAAAACTAAACGTTAAAATAAAAAAAATCCCAAATTATGAAACTACTATAGCTAAAAATTACTCGCAATTTTTCGAATCCCAGCCGGTTAAATTGGTGGCTCGAGTAAGAGCGGACCTCCACCTCCGCACCTCTTCCATGTCGGCGTTAGAATGGCCTTCATGCTCGGCAAAAGATTCCGCAAAGCTGCTCTCTGCTTTGCGGACATGAGAAGGATCCACTTCGTAAAAAACGGGCACCACCATCTGGTTCTTTCTATCCATACAATCCAGTATTTGGACGAGCTCCTTCAAGCACCATGTGGAAGAAGCATATTTTTGAGAAAAAACTACGATTGAAACGCGCGAATCTTGGATCGCCGTCAGTAGCTGCGAAAGGTCGTTGCCCTTTCGCAGCCCTTCGGCATCAATGAAGGTGTTGATTGCTTTCTGATTCAGGGCTTTGTAGAGGTGGCTGACGAAGCACCTGCGAGTGTCTTCCCCTCTGAAATTGAGGAACACGTCGTATTTCCAAGGAGAGCCAGAGGAAGAAGATGCAGCGGCAGCCATTAATCGATGGAGTATCTAAGAGTAATGTATGAACTGAAACACTCAATTGATCTTCACACTGATCTTCACACAGATCTTCACATTGAGCTACAAAGGAAGTAATGAGTCAATGACGACCACATCACGCGTTTCTAGCTGTTGAAGTCAATGACGACCAGATCACGCGTTTCTATTTTCTAGGTGCATGTCTTTATCACCTTTTAGAAAAATGAAGAAACTAATGAAAAGCAAAAGCAAGGGACCATCAGGTAGGAAAGAATCCAAGGACTAGTCCTTCAAGTTTTTGAGAATATAGGTTATTGAAATTTAATTCGACTTACTTGGAAAGGTTTATTTTAACAATTATAATAAATTTAACCGTTCCACCAAATTTTAATGATTCAGATTCTTCGACTTGGTAGATTAAAATGAAAGAATCTGAAAATGATCCAACAAAGGAAAAATATAAAAATTATAAAGTATCAGAAATTGGTGGACAAAGATTTGCTCCACATGGGCGAGTGGATGCAACGCGCAAAAGAAAACAACAACAAGTGGGTCCCAAGTCCTAACAGTACAACTGGGGCACACATCACAAGGAGTAATGTCCCGGGATGCTTTTCAAGAGTCTAAATAAATCTCATGATGTTGGAGCTCTTCAATTATCTTTGGTGGGACCAGTGCCCATGTGACACACCGTGAGGCAGTGCAAACCAGGCCATTTGGGAACCGACTTCTTCAATCCTTTGGGCTTGAATACAATTGGGCCTAAATGGAATTAGTTGTGTTTGAAGAGGAGACTAACGCAATAAATTTCACAGGCATACATACTTGAGAGTTAACATGGTTATTTCTTGGCAAATACCATACTGACCATATTGTAAGAAGTTCAATACTTTTGTCATTGTCATTAGGCAGCAACATGCCTACAGTTACATCTATTATGATATCTTAAGGAAACTATTATTAGCACTCTAAGAATCTTATTTTACACTCCCTACAAGTCTATTCTTCTTTCCAATTATAAAAAGTTTGGAGTGCAAAATAAAACTCTTAAAAAGCCTATAACAATTCCCTATCTTAATACTGAGTGGCCCTAATGAACCTATATTGGTGTTTTATATTCTTGGAAGCATACAACAAATTCTTTGCATAAAATGGAAATATTATACTTCTTCTTTCTTATATTGATATAAGTAGTATTGTCATATGGAAGACAATGAAACCAACGGATTTATGTTCTATGCAAAATATGAGATGTACATACCATGCCACAGATAATGTATCTTCTAATTTCTTGTGTAAATCGAGCTGATATGATATTTAGTGTGAGAAATGAAGTGAATTTAAATCAGTTTCGAATAGAAGAGAAGCATGCTATAAGAAAGCATTCATTTGTAGATTGTATTGTGTCATCAATATTATACTCATAGTTTCAACTGCTCAGCTTAGTGCATGGGTAAAGACACAAAAAAAAGGAAAATAGAAAAGTAGAAGACATAATATTTGAGCATGTAACAGGAATAGTAAGTTTTTGAAAAAATTGCTAGACCGAGAAATTAAATCGTTAAACATTACACTCTGACCCAATATAAAGATATAGTTTGTTTACAAATCAAAATGAAGCGGTATCAAAGGAAAATGTTTAAGATGTTGAAAATACAAAACTGGACTACGCAACCATATCTTTTTTCCATAACTAAACGAAAAATTTATAATGATACAAACCCCGATCCTGGGTCACCTGGCTCCTCCCATCCTCAACTCTGTATGTCAAAGGCTGAGTAGCCATGTATGCAAAAGTTGTGAAATGATCACCATCTGAAGATTGAGAATAACCCGCATTCACATTGCTCAAAATTTTATAGAAAATAGGATAAATTAACATATTTAAAGTATGTATTAGGATGCAAACGTTTTTAAGATAAATTAAGCAGAAAGGAAAGCAGGTAGGACTTGGGGTTTGAAAAAAATAAATGCGGTTTGTGGGAAAGTGCGGTGCTAATTAGAGACTGAGGTGGGCTGCAGGACTGGTGTCTCTAAATTTTGTGTCTCCTCGATGTCTCTTTTCTAATTGCTTGACACGTGTCTTTCAACTTAACACTGTTAACTTTATTATTTCTTTCATTAAAAGGAGAATTTCCAAAAATCAATCTAGGCACACCCACCACAACCCCGCCGGAAAACATCTCTTTCCTCCAGTCTCACGACCGGAAAAACATCATGCTCTTCCAGTTTCACGATTGGGAAAACATCCTCCCCCTCCAGTCTCTCTGGGCACACGAATCGACTCAATTTCAACCATCGTTCGCAGATCTGTTGGGGAAACATCCAGTCGAATCTTCCGACTGTGAGCATCTGGCCTGATTAGAAACCAGACTATCCACCCCACAACAGCGGCTAGCTAGGCCACCACCAAGTCCCTCATTAGAATCCAACATCCTCTTCCTCCAGTCTTTCTCACTATCATTATAATGCAAAATCCCAGCCAAAACATCCTCCTCCTTTGATGGTTAAATCCATATGAAATCATGGGAGAGAAAGAGAGAGATAGGAGATTTGGTCGACGTCTATGAATATACGGAGTTGTTGTCGACGAGGTGGGCTGGTTATGGGTTTGGGTGATTTGATGGCTATCGGTAGAACTGAAGAATTTGGCGTTTACTCTACCTTGGTATTTCTGGGTTTTTGGTTTTAATTTCCGATACAAAATAATCAAAATAATGGAATTAACAGTATTAACCTTTTAGTAAGTTGGAAGACACGTGTCAAGTAATTAGAAAAGAGACACTAAAGATGTGATATCCCGTCCCTAAAATTATTATTTTATTTTATTTTATTCTTGGCGTATTTCGAAGATTTGATTGGAACTAGTTCTTTATTTCTCCAAATTTGAGAAAAACGAAGTGAGGGTTACTTTAGTCATTTCCAATTTTCTCGACCTTTTCGGTCAACTCTTGAATTGGTTAGGTAGAGTTCGATTCCATGACCGCGTAGGTGTAAACAGATCTTATTTCCGAATCCGAACGGAGAAGATAGAGTCGTTTAAAGTTGGTGGCATTTTGGTAATATTACCAAAATGCTATAAATGGGAGGAAAACCTCCAGAAAAGGGGGAGGGTTTTCAGAAAATGGAAAATGGGTGCTGCCTAACCCGTTTTAGGGGGAATTTGACCCATAAACCCACCAAACTTGACCCGCTTGTATCTTTCTCATTCGAGCTCCGTTTTGGATGATCTTGGTGTCCATGGAAAGCTCTTGACGAGCCTTACATCTCTGTGATGTTAGATTTTCCCATTTCTTTTCCATCTTTGCAGTTCGAGGTCGCAAAGTCCACGACTTTTCCGGCGGTTTTATCATTTTTCCGGCGATTCCGGCAACGATTTCCTTCGAGTGAGGTATGAAACTTCATCTGCTCTTCATAATCTTCAAGTGGGTATGCTTAGTTTGTGCTTTCTTATTCATTTTAGAGTTGGGTGTTTAGAACCCTAGAAATCCGGTTTTCTCCGATGAAATTGGATGGTTTCCGGTTAGAATTTATCGTCGGCCTAGTTGTGAAAAGTGTTTCCCTTGTTGAGCTCTAGCTACCACGTAAATTTGAGCTCATCTAGTTAATGTTGAAATTCGGGGTTTGTAAACCCTCCATCTTGACTTCCACCGCGTGTGGCGGTGCGTGGGATCGTTCACGAGTGTTGTCTAGGTTTCAAATACCTTCTAGTGACCATGTGAACCTATGTCTAGCTTGGTTTCCAAAGATTCAATTGTTTGGTGTGGTGATCAATTTGGACCGCCACTTGTTTGTGTGATTGACGAAAATTCGACCATTGGATCAAAATGAAACTTTAGTATGTTATCCTCGAAGCATAATGTGGACTTTGGGAAGTTATGGATCATAAATCGGATTTGCGGATTGTTGTGGACCCCATCGTTGACCGAGAATTGATTTATGGTCAACATGTCTCGGAATGTTCTAAATAATAAAATTAGTACTATGGGAGACTTAAGTGAAGTCTAGTGAGCCTACATTGGTTAGAGAGTGACTTGAACATATGTAATATGGTTATTACCTTGATTTCTTATATTGGTATCATCTGTGAATTTGACTTGGTCTTATAATGTGATTCTATTGAAATGTGATTATATATATATTTATATATATTTAGCCATAAACCTATGTTTATCAAACATGATTTGGCTTGTGTACTGATGATGATCGTGATATGTGAATTGACGTGCATATTCGAAAGGTGGTTGATTTACGTAGATGGTATGATATGATGAAATGTGAGTGATTTTAATTTATGTGAATATGAAATGGTTTTATAATCATTTTTCCTATAAATTGTTAATTTTCATATTTAGCCAATGATATTGTTATATGAAGTGGGATTTGACGTGCATATTGGAAATATGGTTTGTTTTGTATGATTGGCTTGATTTGATGAAGGTGAGGGCTAGTGGTGGACCGTTAACCCATTGTCATGGGGTTGTTGTTTTGAAACATGTGTCAATGTTCATTTCATTATTTCATTTCTTGTTTCGTTTAGCCTTTATAATTTGAGCAACTTGATTCATGTGTTGTTTCATTGATTGGTGGTTATGCAATGTACTCCGCGATTCCGTTGAGGTGATGGTCCAAAATCGTATCCTGGTTTGGATTCCGTTGAGTGATGGTCCAGAATCCTTCCTACTCCACTCTGCGATTCCGTTGAGTGATGGTCAAGAATCGTATCTTGGTTTGGGTTCCATTGAGTGATGGTCCGGTATCCCTCTTACTCCGCGATCCCGTTGAGTGATGGTCCGGGATTGTATCCACATTAGTTCATTGAGTTTAGTTTGAGATGGTTGCAAAGGTGTAGGCTTTGGATGAACAGTGTCGCCCTAATTCTACTTTCATTGTGTGTATGTGAATATGGGTGTGAGATGTTATGGTTGTTTGGAATGAACTTTTGGATATCTGGGTGACTCCCTCGGAGTTTTCAAAAGTAGGGTATTGATTTCTTATGAAAGATTTATATTCAAGGTTTATAAATTATGATTGATGGCTAGTTTTATTATTGTATCACATGCTTATTTTATTGTCCCT